ATCTTACACAGGTCTTACTTTTTGTAACTGAAAAGCTATGACCAGTCTTGAAGAAGAAAATAGATATCTAACTTTTTAAGACTAGTCTAAGCAGTTTATGCAAACGGCCCCATATCGGTACCTACTGGGCCATATCGCCACAAAATGGAACAGTTAAGCAAAGAGAATGGTTTGGCTCGACAGTGGCAAAGCGGCTTAAGACAAGTATCCATTTAATGTGCATCTGTACATGTGTTGATTCAGATGACTGAAGTGAATGTGATTTGATTTCAGTCTCAAGCTGAGCACACAGAGCTTCAGATTAAACAGCAGTTTGTTAACGCAGAATAACCCACGACCAGGTGATCAGGACACATAATATTGAATTGAGTTTTAATATTTTATAAGCTAACTAAAGGCAAAGCTTCCACAAAGAAAAACTGTTTCTAGCAAGCGGCGCTGACTTCAGCCTGTGTTATCAGCTTTTACCAGAGGAATAACATACCTCGGATTGTTGTGACTGACCAATCAGAATCAAGTATTCCAAAGCCGTGTAATAAATATAGTTATGATCTGATATATTTAATATAATGGATTCCAGTTGATTATTTTTGTAAATGACGAGCAGCGATCTGCTTCTGGATCTGTTATATGTCGGTATCTGAGTTTATCTCAGATCTGAATGATGTGATGTGTTGATGTGTGTCGATGGAGATGATTGAAGTGAATGTGGTTTGATTTTAGTCTCAAGCTGAGCACACAGAGCATCAGATTAAACAGCAGTTTGAGAAGCTTCATCAGTTTCTCAGAGATGAAGAAGAAGCTACAATCACTGCACTGAGGGAGGAAGAGGACCAGAAGAAGCAGATGATGAAGGAGAAGCTGGAGGAGATCAACAGACACATCTCAGCTCTTTCACACTCAATCAAAGACACGGAGGAGATGATGAAAGCCAGTGACGTCTGCTTTCTGAAGGTCTGATTTCAGATAATTTATTGATTGATTGATTGATTGAGTTGTTGATGATAAACTGTGTGTTTGTTCTGAGACCTACAGAGTGCACACCCATTACGTGAAGTCTAGTGCGCGTGTGCATTTAGAGTGCGCTCTGCCTGATCACTGCATGATTCAGTCTATTAAAATACATTCAGAATGATCATAAATTCAAGACATGGGGGCAGAAAATGTGTATATTTATATCAATTCATATAGTTCATCAAGTTCAGAGTGCCTTTTTTTCTCCATAAATTACCATATACAAATGTGATATTGATTTTTTACAACAGTTCAATAAACTAGAAGTTTTATTAAGAGACTTACGTTTTAGACACCATATTGCCTGTTTTTGCACTATTTCGCCA